GAAAACATCAGCTGGCTCTGGACGTGAGAAATGCTGTTGGACAAGACAGAATCTCACCAGGTATACTAAAAGAAGGAGCAGAAGCACTATGCTTGCCGCTCTTTTTTATGTTGTACACTATATCAATGAAAATTAGAAGACCTTTAAAAAAGTGTATAAGAAAAAAGTGTATAAGAAAAAAGTGTATAAGAAAAAAGTGTATAAGAAAAAAGTGTATAAGAGAGAGTACCTATAGCAACCATGGAATGCAAAGGATGGGGAGGTAGAGGGGTGACATGAAATTGTGAGGGGTGAGATCTCAGAGTGGAGAGATTTCTCCAGCAGAGTCCAACAGGGATTATGACTTATCCTGTTGTTTATATACGCAATTGGTCTTCTAGAGATAATTAACTCGTCCCTTTCAATGTTTACTGATGTCAAAATTATGAGGAGGATTAAGGCAAAGGATGAGAGCAAGAGGTTACCAATGACCTTGATAAACTGAATGAGTGGTCCAGGAAATGGCTACTTGAGTTTAACTTAAGTAACTGCAATGAAACAGGGAACAGAAGACCGGACACAAAGGTACCAACTGGGAGATGAAATCTACAGGAATCAAGAGGAAACGTATATTGGGTGGTTGATATCATGCCGAACCTGTCCCCTGCAGGGCACATAGAAATATTTTCAGCGGTATATGCTACGTTATCTTGAGATCTTGAGGTTATCTTGAGATGATTTCGGGGCTTTTTTTAGTGTCCCCGCGGCCCGGTCCTCGACCAGGCCTCCACCCCCAGGAAGCAGCCCGTGACAGCTGACTAACAAGACGTTGGCTAAGATAAAAACTACCTATAGAAACTTGTGCAAAGGAACCATTCAAACCCTTGAATATCACATATGTCAGACCAGTCATTGAGTATGAGGCGCCAGTGTGGAATCCAAATCTAATGGACCACAAGGCGAAGTTAGAACAAAGTTCAGGGAAATGTTACCAGGATTAGTGTCGGAGCTGAGAGGTACAAGTTACAAGGAAAAGCTACTGGAATTAAACCCCACGTCACTGGAAGACAGAAGAGTTAGAAGAGACATGATTACCACCTATAAAATTCTCAGAGGAATGGCTCAGGAGGAACTGAGGACCCAAAAGAGCCACAGAAATATTAGAGGAAACACTTGTTAGTGAGGCCTGTGTTTAATACAGTGGCTTTTGTCTTCCCTCATTTGTAATGAGGATTGATGAGGGAGGGAATTTTCAGGGAGAAAGCGCCAAGCCATTACGGCTATATAGCAAGTGGGTCAGGATAAGGATTTGGGATGGGAGGAGGGGAAAGAAATGGTGCCCAACCACTTCGACGGTAATGAGGAGTTGAAAACTTTAATATGGGATCAGTGCAATGTTGCAGCTGCATCTTTTAGGATCCATGGTGAGATCTTGCCAGGACTTGTGTCTTTCTTGACATCCGGTGCCTCTGACTTGGTCTTGACGTCCTCTACTGATACTTCCACCTCGGTGAATCTTTCTTTTGGTTGTGCCTGGTTCATACGAAGTCATAGACGCCGAGGCAGCTCTGGCTCCACATTAAAACCTTCCTGGAAATTTGTATTGAGTTCTTCGCACACTTCCTAATCATTCTTTGTGATAAGGAATGTCGCCTTCTCTTTCATGAAGCTCCTTTCATCTTCCTCCTCATGTGGCTATATAGACATTTTGGCTGATCTTTGGCTTTGTATGCTACGTTGTCCTCATGTTGTGTCTCTGCTGCTTTTAAATTAGTATTATTTTATAGTTTTTATTTTAATCACTGATCATCACTGCACTCATCATACTCATCATCATCACTGCACTCATCATACTCATCATCATCACTGCACTCATCATACTCATCATCATCACTGCACTCATCATACTCATCATCATCACTGCACTCATCATACTCATCATCATCACTGCACTCATCATACTCATCATCATCACCATCCCCTCACAAAACATTTACAATTATATTCCTTCAAACACTCAGGACTACCTTCCAAAATATTTTCCCTCTCTCCAAGCATGTAAAAAAAAGGTTGACAAAGGTTGCTTTTAAAAAGCTTTCATTTATATGTTCACCAACAGCATAATGGCTGGATCAATATTGTTGGGGATGACTAGCTACAGACCTTGGACCCTGGCGGCTCAGTCCTGCCTTGTTCCTTGGTGCTGTGGCTGTGCTTACTCACCTAGCTGTGCTTGTAGGGGTTGGGCTTCGGCTCTTCGGTCCCGCCTCTCGACTGTCACTTAGCCGGTGTACAGGTTCTTGAGCCTATTGGGTTCTGTCATATCTACATTTGAAACTGTGTATGGAGTCAGCCTCCACCATATCACTTCTTAGTTTATTCCATTTGCTAACTACTCTGACCCCTAAAAAAGAATCTTAATGTCTCTATGGCTCATTTGGGTACTCAGTTTCCACCTGTGTCCCCTTGTCCGTGTTCCACCCGTGCTAAATAGTTTGTCTTTTTCTACCCTGTCAATTCCCCTGAGAATTTTGTAGGTGGTTATCATGTCTCTCCTTACTCCTCTGTCTCCCAGTGTGTGTGTGTGTGTGTGTGTGTGTGTGTGTGTGTGTGTGTGTGTGTGTGTGTGTGTGTGTGTGTGTGTGTGTGTGTGTGTGTGTATGTGTACTCACCTAGTTGTGCTTGCGGGGATTGAGCTCTGGCTCTTTGGTCCCGCCTCTCAACCGTCAATCAACAGGTGTACAGGTTCCTGAGCCTACTGGGCTCTATCATATCTACACTTGATATACACGTGTGTGTGTGTGTGTGTGTGTGTGTGTGTGTGTGTGTGTGTGTGTGTGTGTGTGTGTGTGTGTGTGTGTGTGTGTGTGTGTGTGTTTAATACTTGCATTTACTGTTTATGCCTGCAGGCTCGAGCTTTTAGCTCTTGGACCCCGCCATACTAACCGTTGTAAAGGTGTGGGGTCAGAGTATTCTTAGGGGGTATTACTTTGAATTTCAACCTCACTCACCCTTGCTGTTCCGGCCGAACAGCAACGAGAGTCCAAGGGTCCAACTAAACCGCTTTCAACCATGTGAGGCTCTGAACATCCCTGTCTCCACCAGTCCCTGATCAGTATTAAATAATAAATAGGCAACAAAAAGCAGTATGTCCCCCCTGCTGGCACCTCTCCCATCTCTACATCACCTTGAGAGGTCCCCTGGCCATGCCTTATACCTGGTGTGAGAAAGACCCACGTTGGATAGAGGGAAATTCACATTAGCAAGTTCCTGTCGAAATGTTCTACATCCATTGCTGGAATTGGAGCCCCTAAGAGGCGAATTGTTGGTGACTTCGTTCTGGTAGCTCCTGCGACGGTGCTTAAATCAAGCGAATTGGCGTATACCTTTCCATTGGAAACTTTCAGCAACGTGGAGAGGGGCGGACCTGCTGCATGGGTAACAGCTTCTCCTTCATATCAACCTACCCTGGCTTTGCGCTTTGGAGAGGACACCCCGGCCTCGACAACCAGAGCTCAACTCCATAGTCTCCTGAGACTATAGGATGCCTACTGCTGGATCCATGGAATTTCTTTCTCACTTATATATATTCCCATTTGTCCTCCCCCCAACTCTCATTCTGTTGTTCCACACCCACCTTCTGAAATAAAGGTAACAAGCCAGGGGAATTATTTTGTGTCAAGAGTTATCAGATCTTCAGAAGGCAAGGAGGAAAATACCTGGATCTAAAAGGAGTCAATATTTAATCAAGAAATACACAAGGGGACCAAATATGGGTGACCCCCTCAAACTTAACCCTTCAGAAGTTCAGTAGAACTTCGGTTTCAACCCTTTTAATCCTGTCATAGCTCAGTCGATTAAGGCAGTGTCTGGGATGCTCCCGGACGCAGGTTCGAATCCTCGTCACGGCCCTTGTGGGTTTGTTTAACCCTTCAGAACTCCACCTGAATCTTGTCACCGGAACAGGATTGAATGTCTTATGTCATACTGCAATTAGAACAAGTTATAGCATGTAACATATGCATTACCATTATCTATAAAGTCAACTCTGACCTGTAGCTTCCATTTCCTGCATACAATGACCATAAATTGTGAAATCTATACAGTAATGTATATTTACAGCCAGTAGCTTCAACGGAAGATGTCTTGGTTAACAGATTATACAACTGGATATTGTATAATATCCAGCTGTTATTATACAAGTGATGGATGAGAGACAAGAGACTGATGGATGATTACTACTATTCCTAAACTCACCACAATAATACATCAAAGTGTATCGTGAATACAACAAGCTGAGTGGTAATTTAACCAATGACGGACTTCATCAACACCTACTCATGCCCGTGCCGCCTCTTGGGTGACTTGATCATCATCAATCAACCAATTCATCAGCACGTCACTAGGCCTCCCTCGGCCTATGCTTGCGGCGGTCTATCAACCGACATTTCTGGCACCTTTACCAAACCCCAGCTACGGCTCCGGCCGGATACCAGCCGGATACGTTATAACTTCTCAAAAACACCTGAAATCTTTCAAATTCGTTGCTGCGCTAAACACCCGTATTTTATTGGGCAGTGACATGGCCCTCCGAACCGTCCTTTCCTGGGACGTAATTGGGTGTCCTCCGTCACTTTCCTGGGATGTAATTGGGTGTCCTCCGTCACTTTCCTGGGATGTAATTGGGTACCCTCCGTCACTTTCCTAGGACGTAATTGGGTGTCCTCCGTCACTTTCCTGGGACGTAATTGGGTGTCCTCCGTCACTTTCCTGGGACGTAATTGGGTGCCCTCCGTCATTTTCCTGCTCTCCAGGTAGAATTTCAGCAGGAAAAGCGAACGTGCGTCGAATCGCGTGCTCTGCTGAACGCGATTCGATGCACGTTCAGCGTCGATAGGCGTCCGTTCTTAGAGCGGTAACCAAGCCTGGTATAGAACCTTTACCTCAATCACAGCCCAACCTGATCCCATCGGCTACCAGTAACCCCATCCTCGTGTCTCATCAAGCCTGCAGCTGGCTTAATGCCCCAGGAGCGCTTAAGGAACCAAGAAAACTTGGTTCCAAGAAATTCTTGGAAATTTTTACTAAGAAATTCTTGGTAAAAACAAGAACTTGGAACCAAGAAAACTTGTGAACACAAATATTCGTCTCCTTGTTCAATCTTCTTGACTCCTGGACAGAGAAATTAGATTGTATGCTAGTCTTGAAGAATGTCCAGGTCCGAATTATTCTTACAGGTGAAGGGGGAGACAGCGCCAAGCTATTAGGACTATGTAGCACTGGGAAGGGGTCAGGATAAGGATTTTGGGATGGGACGGAAGGAAGGAATTGGTGACCAACCACTTAGACGGTCGGGGATTGAACGCCGACCTGCATGGAGCGAGACAGTTGTTCTACCGTCTGTTCCAAGTAGTTGGGTTTTCACAGGTGAGGTGTATTTTAAGATTGGCTGTAAGGTCATTACACCGTTCATTGTCTAATGTACTGACTCCCGACCTCTTTTTTCTCTGTCATATGTGCTACATATTTTTGGGTCACATACACTCACTCACTCACACACACATACACACACACACACATACTCACACACACACACACACACTCTCACACACACACACACACACACACACACACACACACACACACACACACACACACACACACACACACACACACACACACACACACACACACACACACACACACACACACACACACACACACACACACACACACACACACACACACACACACTCACACACACACACACACACAGCTAGGGCGCTGGTGGCTGCGTGGACAGCACACTGGATACGTAGTCCTCTGGACCGGGGTTCGATTCCCGGCGCCGGCGGAAACAGATGGGCAAAATTTCTTTCACCCTGATGCTCCTATTACCAAGCAATAAATAGGTACCTGGGAGTTAGACAGCTGTTACGGGCTGCTTCCTAGGGACGTGTGTGTGTGTGTGTGTGTGTGTGTGTGTGTGTGTGTGTGTGTGTGTGTGTGTGTGTGTGTGTGTGTGTGTGTGTGTGTGTGTGTTTGTGTGTGTGTGAAAAAAAGAAGTTAGTAACAGTTGATTGACAGTTGAGAGGCGGGCCCAAAGAGCCAGAGCTCAACCTCCGCAAGAACAACTAGGTGAGTATACACACACACACACACCCATCCCCAGGGAAGAGCTCGTAATAGCTGGTTGAATCATTCACATTCCAGTTTGCAGTCAAAGCGATTGGGGAGACGGAAGCAGAGAAGCAAGATGGTTGCTAGACTTCAGCAATCAATGCTGAAGCCAGCAAGGACATCTAGATGAGTTCATATAGGTTAGTTGCAAGGCAGTGGGACTGGCATCTTGAAGCTGTTGCAGTCTCAACTGTTCCAGCAACAGCAGCAGCAGCAGCAGCAGCAGCAGCAGCAGCGCCAGAACTACAAGTAACAAAGTAGCTCCATCAGTAACAGACATTGAGACACCACCACTGGCGTTTATGCTGGCAGTAATTCATGGTTCTAACACTCAAGTGCCACTTAAAATGTCACGTAGAACTTTATATGGCACCCGCGAGGTCACCGCTTGAGTGGCTGGTGGTACACAGTTGAACACTGTGAAGCGCTCTAGTGGAAGTAGTATGGTGATGCGAGCTTGTCATTGTACTATAGTGTCTTGGTACATTGTAATTTCGGAACAATTTGCGATGGTAAAGTTGTCATTGTAATGCTGAGATCACACACTCAGTGTGTATGAGTGTGTATAGTGTGTGTATAGGTATGTGTATAGTGTGTGTATAGTTCTGCTGGCTTACTGCTTTCTGTATCACATTATTTTTCCTGAGACCATACAGGTTGTGTTGATCTCCCCCCCTCCCCCCCCCCCACAGTACAGCAACGGCCTCGCTTCTTGCAGGCCCCCGTTCGATTCCCGGTGGTCAACAGTGCCGTATTTTCATAATTTGTCAAAAACCTTATTTACATAAATTGGTGTATTTTGAATGAAATGAACGTCTCTATTACCCCGTGCACAAGAACTATTAATCTACAGGTGCCATGTGGTATAGCTTGTTCCTGTCCCTTCTTCCTATTTATATTTAAGTATTTTTCTTAACCCAAGCAACCCACCTAACTCATCCAGGTTGTTGCATTAAAGAAAACGGCAATATTTCGGTGCTTAAAGTCATACTAATACGTCCCATTTCTAATGGATTGGTCGATCTCCTAACAAATCTGATGTAATAAGCAGATGATGAATCACGTCAACGTGACTGATGATTTCATGGCCGAATCATCCACCAGAAGATGGAGGAACGACGACGTTTCGGTCCTGGACCGAAACAAGTTCAAGTTTATCAAGTCACTGTGGTCCAAGACGGACCGAAACGTCCTGGTCGTCTCCTCATCATCATCATCATCTTCTGGTGTGTGGTTTGGTCATTATATCATCAGTCATGTTGTTGTGACTCATCGCCTGCAGTGCTAAGCCTTATATCACACGATGGGTTGCTAAGCCTTATATCACACGACGCAGTGCTAAGCCTTATATCACACGACGCAGTGCTAAGCCTTATATCATGCGACGCAGTGCTAAGCCTTATATCATGCGACGCAGTGCTAAGTCTTATATCATGCGACGCAGTGCTAAGCCTTATATCATGCGACGCAGTGCTAAGCCTTATATCATGCGACGCAGTGCTAAGCCTTATATCACACGACGCAGTGCTAAGCCTTATATCATGCGACGCAGTGCTAAGCCTTATATCATGCGACGCAGTGCTAAGCCTTATATCATACGACGCAGTGCTAAGCCTTATATCACACGACGCAGTGCTAAGCCTTATATCACACGACGCAGTGCTAAGCCTTATATCATGCGACGCAGTGCTAAGCCTTATATCATGCGACGCAGTGCTAAGCCTTATATCATGCGACGCAGTGCTAAGCCTTATATCACACGACGCAGTGCTAAGCCTTATATCACACGACGCAGTGCTAAGCCTTATATCATGCGACGCAGTGCTAAGCCTTATATCATGCGACGCAGTGCTAAGCCTTATATCATGCGACGCAGTGCTAAGCCTTATATCACACGACGGGTTGCCAGGTAACTTGTGATCTGCTCCTGGAACGACTTACTCTATACTAACAGGGAAAAGCCATTCTCCTTACTCTTTTTATTAATAATAATATATCTGATTATTGATATTATTATTATCATTATTGCTATTATGTTTAGTATATTAAATTATTAGTAATACTTTCAAATTGACTTCATTTTTCTTCTGGTTATTATTATTACATTCACAAACTAGAGAAGAGTAATGTCCTCAGGAAGTCAAGGTAAAATCAACAAATTATGCTTTAAAGCACTACGGGCTCACCATAGCCCGTGCTACTTGGAATTTTTTGTTCCAAGTAGAATTCTTAAACAACAACGACAAGTTTAAAAGCAATCAAGGTATTTATGTAATATAACCCTAAAAGTTTAACTTGTTTCTCGATATATATTCAATGAATAATTACTTTATTCTTGGTCTCTATGCTTAGGATGTAAGTATTCTTAGTGGCTGGTCAGTGTGCTCTTGTGAGTCTCGAACAACCCTCCAGAGGTTGAAAGGCCTCAAGCTTAACACTAAAGCAAAATGCGAATCATTTAACTCGTTAAGGTCGAGCGAATGCAAATGCTCCAAAACTTGCGAAGAAGATAAACAGGGAATGAGAGAATGGAGCACAGAGGTCGAAGCGAAGAAGGGAATGGAGAATAATCAGGGGGAGATAATTTAAGCAGGAGAATGGAGAAATAGCCAGGGATGCTAATTTAGGCACTCCCTCCCTTCATAAATATACCTCCGCACAAGGTAAGGGAAACAGACTCACCGTGATCATGAAAGCAGAAATTAAAGAGTAGAGAGAGAATTATTGATAACGTTGAAGCGGGAGATGGAGATTATTGATAACGTTGAAGCGGGAGATGGAGATTATTGATAACGTTGAAGCGGGAGATGGAGATTATTGATAACGTTGAAGCGGGAGATGGAGATTATTGATAACGTTGAAGCGGGAGATGGAGATTATTGATAACGTTGAAGCGGGAGATGGAGATTATTGATAACGTTGAAGCGGGAGATGGAGATTATTGATAACGTTGAAGCGGGAGATGGAGATTATTGATAACGTTGAAGCGGGAGATGGAGATTATTGATAACGTTGAAGCGGGAGATGGAGATTATTGATAACGTTGAAGCGGGAGATGGAGATTATTGATAACGTTGAAGCGGGAGATGGAGATTATTGATAACGTTGAAGCGGGAGATGGAGCCGACGTACGGATTTTTTGTTTTTTATTTCGAAAGACATTATCTCCAAAATTGACTGGAGTGATGGAGAGAGCCGGTTAGGAATTATTAAAATAGCAGAACGAAGTCTGGAAGAGGATATCGTAGAGAACTGTGGATGGAAAGGAATAGGTGGAGACGGAAATTAAATTCGGACGTTATTCCTAAATGGTTAAAGCGAAAGGCTTCTTGGAAGTCCAATAGGACGTGTTTCATGCATGTTCAATAGGACGTTCGTTACTCATGGAAAGTAGAGAAGATGGGCTTCCTGCAAGGCAAGCAGAGGTGCTCCCCTGGAAAGCAGGCAAGAGGTGCTCCCCTGGAAAGCAGGCAAGAGGTGCTCCCCTGGAAAGCAGGCAAGAGGTGCTCCCCTGGAAAGCAGGCAAGAGGTGCTCCCCTGGAAAGCAGGCAAGAGGTGCTCCCTGGAAAGCAGGCAAGAGGTGCGCCCTGGAAAGCAGGCAAGAGGTGCGCCCTGGAAAGCAGGCAAGAGGTGCTCCCTGGAAAGCAGGCAAGAGGTGCTCCCTGGAAAGCAGGCAAGAGGTGCTCCCTGGAAAGCAGGCAAGAGGTGCGCCCTGGAAAGCAGGCAAGAGGTGCTCCCCTGGAAAGCAGGCAAGAGGTGCTCCCTGGAAAGCAGGCAAGAGGTGCTCCCTGGAAAGCAGGCAAGAGGTGCTCCCTGGAAAGCAGGCAAGATGTGCTCCCTGGAAAGCAGGCAAGAGGTGCTCCCTGGAAAGCAGGCAAGAGGTGCTCCCTGGAAAGCAGGCAAGATGTGCTCCCTGGAAAGCAGGCAAGATGTGCTCCCTGGAAAGCAGGCAAGAGGTGCGCCCTGGAAAGCAGGCAAGAGGTGCTCCCAAGAAAGCAGGCAAGAGGTGCTCCCAAGAAAGCAGGCAAGAGGTGCTCCCAAGAAAGCAGGCAAGAGGTGCTCCCAAGAAAGCAGGCAAGAGGTGCGCCCTGGAAAGCAGGCAAGAGGTGCTCCCTGGAAAGCAGGCAAGAGGTGCGCCCTGGAAAGCAGGCAAGAGGTGCTCCCTGGAAAGCAGGCAAGAGGTGCGCCCTGGAAATGAGTATTTACACTGCTTACAAATTTATTGAATTGCTTTGAACTGGCATTGAGGAATTTCCGACCCCAAACAATAGCATCTTCGCTAGCATGGACCCAACCCTGTGACCCGGAGCGAGGGGCCAGCAGAGCCCCTTAACACATCGTAACTGCAATGGACTCAAACCCATGAACATGGGACTCATAGCTAGCATACCCACAACCCAGTATGCCTCGTACCTCCATCACGAGGGCCTTATTTAACCACTTACCAGCTACAATAGGCTACGAGATCATTGGACTGAGGTCGACTCTGAAGAGCCTAGAAACTCGTAAATGGTTAAGCAACTAAAAAGCTGCAGTGGTCGACAAAGGAATATGGATCTCATGTGATTCCAGAGCCTTGAGTCGTCAGACAATTACATGTTCCTTTACGAAACCTGTACATCTTAGCTCGATCATAGCGCCTTTGCCTTCATATATTAAACAAGTTACGAGCTAGGAAACGTTGCCAGATTGTTCTCGATCCAAGGTTATATTGAGATAATTTCGGGGCTTTAGTGTCCCCGCGGCCCGGTCCTCGACCTGGCCTCCACCCCCAGGAAGCAGCCCGTGACAGCTGACTAACACCCAGGTACCTATTTTACTGCTAGGTAACAGGGGCATAGGGTGAAAGAAATTCTGCCCATTGTTTCTTGCCGGCGCCTGGGATCGAACCCAGGACCACAGGATCACAAGTCCAGCGTGCTGTCCGCTCGGCCGACCGGCTCCAAGATCCAAGGTCAATATTGCTATAGATAGCCTCGTAGTGCTTCGGAAATAACATGTTTACAAAATACAGACGAAGGCGCCATGATTGAGAATAGATGTACAGGTTTCGTCAAATAAACATGTAAATGCTTCATGAATCTGGACCCCTGGGATTTAAGGCAGATGTAAACATCAGTTTACATCTGATGTCTCCCAAAGCACATTAAGTATTCAGGTAGATTTAAATAATAGACTGCGAAAATGGCCGTATGGTTAAGTAAACAAAATGGCCATGAATTAATATATGTCTGTGTACAAACTGTCTATCTGTCTGTCTGTATAATACCAATGAAAGGGTGGTGAGACAGAGGACAACCTGTCACTCTGCTCATGTGACAGGACCGCACAGAGCGAGGGGTCAACACCTCTACTCAGGACGGCACAGAGCGAGGGGTCAACACCTCTACTCAGGACGGCACAGAGTGCTCTGTGACCAATTTGTTTAATATCTCAGGAAGAATAATGTGACGAGCTGAATGCACAAGCAATTAGGAGGATGTTGGAGACTCGAACTCCTGCCCCTCCTCCTCCTGATCTTTATCTTTGTCCTTCTCAACCTCAGCCTCCTCCTTCTTCTTCTTCTCCTCCTCCTGCTCCTCCTTAGCGTCTTCCTTCTGCTAGGTCTCGTTTAGACATGTCGGCTAACACTGCCTCTCTTCCTCCAGCGTTGAATATTAACTGGTTTAAAACTCTCCTGTGTTTCATGTTATTCATTTTCTCCTCTTTTAAATGTTTTTTCTCTCGTGTTCCTTTTTATCATTCCTTTTCATGTTTCTCCTCTTTCTTGTTTGCCATGTGGTTTTTTTCTATCTTGTGTAACTTTTACATCTTTCTGGGTTCCCTTTATTCTTGCTTGTGTCTCTTTTTTCGTTTTCTCAAGCTTCATGCTCCTCTCTCTCTCTTTCTACTCTTCTCTATTATATCTCTAATTCTTCATTTTCTCTTCATCTTCTGTCTGTTATTTTTCCTTCTATTTTTCCCTCTCTTATCTTTTTAATAATTTTGTTTTTTCTTCTATAATTCAATTGTTTTCTTTCGTCTTTTTAGTGTTCTATTCTCTTCTTCTTTCTCAACTTTTCTTGTTGTTTATCTTTCCCAGTCTTATGATCCTCCATTCTATCTTCTAAACGCCTCATTCGTCTTCTGTTTCTCTCCATCTCTCTCTCTCCTGTGGCTCTTCTCTTGTCTCCCTCTCCTGTTTCTCTCTCTCTCTCTCTCTCTCTCTCTCTCTCTCTCTCTCTCTCTCTCTCTCTCTCTCTCTCTCTCTCTCTCTCTCTCTCTCTCTCTCTCCTGTGGCTCTTCTCTCGTCTCCCTCACCTAAGTTTCTTCGCTTGTGTCTATCTCCCTCCAATCTACCTATCCCCCCTTCGTATCCACTTATCATGCTGTTTCTTCCTTCCACTCCTGCTCTTACCCCTTTTTATCTCCTTCCGTCCCCTTCTCTTCCTTTGTCTGCACGGTCTCCTTATAAATATTTATTCCTTGCTTGCTAACAAGGCTGGATGACCCTTTGGGCGCTCCTCCTCCTCCCCGGTGACGTGCCAGGGCGGCACGTGTGCCACATGTTGATGCTTTCCCTGGTGAACTGTGGGTCGGGCAGGTCATCTCTCACTTCTAGCAACCTCTCCCTCATATCTAACCTCCTCCTCCTCCTCATCCTCCCTCACCTCTAACAATAGCTGTGACAGGGGGGGGGGGGCCTGTTGACATGTCGTATGACACAATCTTTGTATCTATGACACATCTCCATAGTGGTGACACGTGTTATGTATCTTATGCTAGAGAATGTATGCTGTAGAGAAGGTCGAATTTATTGTATTGTACAATGTGAAAGAGGTGTATATGATAAAGGAATTTATTCTCTTGCCGTAACTACGGGCTCACCATAGCCCGTGCTACTTGGAAATTTTTGTTCCAGGTAGCGAATCTT